GTGGTGTGGAGCATGGCAATGATCCCACCAGTGCAGTTAAATCATACCTGGATAGAAGAACACACCGTGGAGCACTGTCAGTCATGGACTAGCCTCCCCAGAGCTCGACATTATTGAAGCTGTGTGAGATTATCCAGACACAGAACAGAACAAAGGCAGAAACCTCCGAAGAAGAACTTTGAATTTCCTTCATGAAGGGCAACTATTCCTGAAAATGACCTGAAGCAGCCTCAGAGTGTTCAGCGTTGCCTTTCAAGCTGGTTAGAATTGTGCAACATATGTCTGCAGATTTCCATAAACCACAGCAAATATTTTCTATTTTCCTAGCAAAATATAAAGAAATGAAGTGTAACGCAGGACTTTTGCTCAGATTATACGTCTGTGCGGGTTTCAGTGAAACTCCTTTCTAGCCGTTTCTGCAGCCTTAAAGCTCGTCATGTCACTGTGCTGTGTGTACTGTGTGTTGGCAGGATGGTGAATACTTGTCTAGCCGAGGAGCTGAAAGAGATCCATGCTTTTGAACAGAAGACCCTCACACCAGAACAGTGGAAGAAACAGAATTCACAATGACACACAAACACTGTATCACGTTGTTGCCATAAACACTCACTGGATATGTAGAACGGATACACTTCTTAAATTCTCTTTAATCGACTGGCAATAAAACTCTTAGATGCTTCCTCCTGTCTCTGTTGAATCATTTTTATTGGACTCTCTGCTGTTTTGACAGCACAACATCATGTTTTTTATTGCTAATAAATCATGATAAATACATTTAATGAAGTTACAAATGCCCACTGCAGAACATGGTAAATGGTAAATGGCCTGTATTTGTATAGCGCTTTACTAGTCCCTAAGGACCCCAAAGCGCTTTACACATTCAGTCATCCACCAATTCACACACACATTCACACACTGGTGATGGCAAGCTGCATGTAGCCACAGCCACCCTGGGGCGCACTGACAGAGGCGAGGCTCATAATTTATATATAATTTATTCTGTTTATTTTATTTATATGGCACAAAATCAAGTAAACCCTCACCTCAAGTCAGTATGTAGTTTATCTCATCAGTGCATATCATTAGATAAGGTGAGGTGATGGTGAACAGTTTATTAAAGAAGATCATTGATCATAAAGGTACATCGTTCACCATCTCACAATACTGCGATTGCAGCCATTCCCCAACTATGTGATTTATGTAATGGTGAGCGTGTCATTTTAAGGATGTGATTAAATCCTAAACTTATAGTGATTCAAGTATTTTAAGGAGCAGTGCTGTTATATGTCATGTGGGGATGCTGCTGGCACACTACATGTCCCAGTGACCCCCAGGATTACAGATCAGTGGCACTGACTTCGCACGTCATGAAGATCCTAGAAAGGCTCGTCCTTGACTGTACATATACAACAAAATTGTTGATTACCTGACAGGAAGACCATAAGGTCTGACAAGGTGATCAGCAAGACAGGGGCGCCACAAGGGACAAGGGACCTCTCCCCTTGGACATTGTGGAGGACTGTAAATACCCTAGAGTACACATAGGGCATAGGAAGGGTCAGAGAAGCTGAGGTCTTTTAACATCTGTGAGAAAGTGCTCATGATTTTCTACGAGTCTGCTGTGGTCAGTGCCATCCTCTGATGTTGCAAGTTAAGAGGTGATAAATGCCAAGATCAAGTGCGGATCAAGAAACTGGTTCTGCAAGGCCAGTAATATTGTGGGGGATGGAGCTGGGGTGGTGTTGGAGAGGTGGATGTTGTCCAAGATAAGGACAACGTTGGACAGTACCTTCCACCCACTCCGTGACATGCCAGCACATTCAGTGAGAGACTGAGATTACACAAATGCACCACTGGATGACACAGGAAATCATTCCTGCCTGTGGATATTTGTCTGTACGACTCCTCAGTGTAATGCACAGTACACAGTGCAGTAGTCACACCCTTTTGCACATCCTCCACAGTGAAAATAATAAGATTATACCGTTAGAGAATCTGTAACCACATAATTTCTTTAAGTCAATAAAGTATTTGATTATGATTCATTATAAAGTGTTGTCTATATCACGCTTTTTTTGTGAAAAGTGCATCAACAGCTATCACAAAATGATGCACTCTAAACCCTGTAAGAGCGTCACACACGTATGTTCCCATGATAACGTTGGAAGGAGTGTATAAATGGAACTTGCAGAGACGTTCACTGTGTATGCTTTTACTTCCTTTCAAGTAAATAAATGCGTTGGAGCTCGCTACTGTGTCTCACTGTGTCTCACTTCATAAGAGACTTTTTCTAACAATAGGTTATAAATGATTAAAATCACTTGGAGTATGTGTGGTTTAAGTGGAGTATTGTTACAGTGATTTGAAACTCGTACATAGGTCTCAAATCTGCCTTAAAGACTGAGAGAGAAACAATAAGTCAATAGTTTCTAATCATATTTTCATGGTTTCACGCACTTTTCACACAGCATTAGGTGCTCACCTGAGCATGACACTATTTGTTGTGTTTTGTGCATATTTACTGGCTAATATGCTTTTGACCTGAACTTGTGACTAAGCTATTAATGATCATGTGCTCCCAAATAAAAATAGATTCAAAAAAATAATAAAATCTTTGCATCTGAATTTTTCTGTTTCTGTTTGTTTTATACATTTTTTGGTGTTTAAGTATAAAGTACTTGGTGAAGTCAGTGGGTAAAGTTAGCATACGATATTGAGCATTTTTTAAACGAGTGATGCTGTATAAAACAGCTTCTTAAAGGTAAAAAGGGTCTTACATGAAGACTTTTTAGGCTTATGACATTTTAAATATGCTATATTTTTGTATAGAGGTGTTTTTATAGTGTGCCATTGCATTAAAGGAACAGTTCTGAAAAGATTCCTCCACCTCTCTCCATTTTTTAGCTAATGATACTGTCGTGACACAAGCATGTCATGTGGCAGGCAGAATGCAGGACTCTGCAAACAGTCAAAATCACAGCTTTATTGCTATCAAAAAGCAGAGAACATCAAGTCAAGTGATCTTTATTTATATAGCACATTTAAAGGACATCAAGTGTCGGCCAAAGTGCTGAACAGAGGGATAATATAATCAAATAAAAATAATTAAAATAGATAAGATCAAAACATTATAGAAAAGATTGTGAGACATCCATATATGTTTGTAAAAATATATGTGTACATGCAAATATGCACATACATATACAAAAGTGTACACATTCACACACAAGCACACATACATGAACATAAAATACATGTATAAGTATACACATGCAAACATCGTCCAATGAGATAAAAGACCAGAATAATAAAACAGAATAAAATAGGTGTCAGAGAGATCTGAAAGCCTTGGAAAATAGGTAGGTCTTCAGATTTGATTTGAAGAAGGAGGAAGAGGGAAGACTGTTCCAGAGTCTCGAGGCGGCAATGGAGAAAGCCTGTCACCTCTAGATTTGAACTGGGAGTATGGAAATAATAAAAGCGTCTGACTGGAGGAGCGCAGAGTTCGAGTGGGTAGGTGTAGGCTAAGGAGATCTGAAATGTAACCTGGAGCCAAACCATGGAGAGGTTTAAAAACAAATAATAAACCCTTAAAATCAATTCTATATTTAACTGTCAGCCAATGTAGAGATGCAAGTATCAGAGTAATACTCTCTCTCGTTCTGGTTGCGGGCGGGACAGGCTTGAGTGACACATGCCTAAATAGAGAGAGTTACAGTGGTCAGTCAGAATCAACAGTACAGTAATCAATGAGAAATACAAAGCTACACTCAAGCAGAGGTGGTACGCATCATGAGGGAGAACACAATGAGGAACAGAGGGAGATGCAGACAATATATACACATAGGAACACAGCTGAACTGAATCACAGCTAATGAGACAGGCGGAGCAAAGCTGAACATCACACACAAAGGACAAAATAAAACAGGAAGTAACACACACACACACAGTGAGACTCAGACTAAGAAACGTGAACGTGACACTGGGATCAGGGATACGGAGAGACATGACAGACTGGGGAGACAAAAAGGACAAAATACAAAAACAGACAGATGCTGACATATTTCAGAGGTTTAATATTTTTTATCCACAGCTTTGAAGTCTTTATATAGTACACTGTAAGACCGAATAGTAATAGTTTGATAAATGAAATGAGTTCCAACTACTTAAAAACCTGTTATAAGTTCATACACCTTTATTTTTTTGAGTAGTTTGAACAATTTTGTTTTTTCAAGTTATCAGTACTTGAATATATTGATTAGTTTCTAGCATTGCGCTCAAATAATTTGAGTTTTAACACTGACGTCACTTACGTGCCTACGTACGTACCTACGTGCGCCACCTGTTTCTTTATGAAGTGCTGGCAACCATCTTGGATTCCTCGCTTCGAGTGCGAATGCCCGCTCATTACCCCGAAAGAAACTTGTGGAACGTTAATATCCGAACAGAAATAAAAACATTTGTCAACGGGTTTTTTGCGGCATTGCCTTTGACGCTGGATAAAGGAGGGCATGCTATGGTATGTTACGGACTTTTGAACTGGAACAGCTAACCCTCTGCACTTGGCTAGCTGCATTTACCGCCTTCGCGGCATCTTCAGGAGCGCTTTGTGGTAAGTTTTATTTTTCTGAAACTATAGTTCTCCGTTGTAATATGGGTTTTTATCGTCATAAATGTACAACTCTAGCAGGCATTTAAGAATTACATGCATGCGTCGTTTTATCCATGTCGGCTTGGCCCCAAAGTGTTTGCATGAATTATGCTAATACACTCATATTTAGTATAACACATTATTAGTCCCTGGGACTAATAATGTGTTAATAACTTTTCTAATCTCTTACTATTTTAAAAGAAGTCTTTAGAAGGCATTTCTGGATTTGCAGATTATAAACTGCCTTGTGGTTAAATTGTTGAATCAATATGCACTGCTGCGCTGCTTCACACTTAGCGCATACGTGGATATTGACATTGGCTAGCCCATTTGCTAACTAGTGGAACTTAAAACTTACGTTTAGTTCTCTGGAGTTGTACATATTAAAACTGGGGCAGCAAAATTGTAGGCACAGGACATACTTACAAAAGCAGTGAATAATCATTACATAATTACGCGGTAGAACTTGGTTTACATTGCAAATAGTTATGTATACCAAGTTGAAATGTAGAATCTTCTGAACTGTAAAATTGTTGTGCCTGGTCTATTTTAGGTTAGCTTAAGGGTGAATCCATCAATAATATATTTACCAAACAGTTATTTTTTCGTTTTATTTTATTCTGATGCCCAGTGTTCATTAGTGAAAGACTTAGTTTTTTATCTGTCAGGGGCTGGGTCTGTGAACCAGCATTTTGAGTTTATTTTGTAGTTTTGCTTTCTTATGTTATATTGAAATGAGGTGAAGTTCTTGTATTGTTGTTATTATTAGTTAAGGTTTAGTTGAGTTCTGGGCTGGTTATGTTTCATCTGTGTCTCCTTGGTTGTGTGTCTTTTCTGTTCTCTGTGTAGTCTGTCTTGTCTTCTGTGTTTTACTGTTATGTCCATGCCAGGGCAGAAGTAAATTTTCAGGGGTGAAGATGCTGTTTACCTTGACCAGCTAAGACTACAGATTGTAGATGAAGTCGAGAAAAGTGAAAAGAATCCTGATTACAAAGCTGATGCTCACAACTTTGGCCTTGCAATGCAAAGAGATCATCAATGATGACCTACCAGTAGGTCAGATCCTGGATTGCTGGCCTACTCTGAAATCCCAGTCCCAGGTAAGAATGTATATAGATGTATCTAACAAGATGTATTTTATATCAACCCCTGTTATCTGGCCTGTCTGAACAAATTATGCCTTTGGAGTGTAAGGATTTTGATGTATTTTGCAAAGATTTATAGACTAATTGAAACTTGTAAACACAAATGTATCCTGTGTGTTCAGATCTGTGCAGAATTCCACAGGATTACAAACCTCCACCTGAAGAACCACTTTTATGCTGTGCTGGACCAACATGCTCCCCGGCTCCAGAGCTTATTCAGAAAGAAAGCTGTTTGCACAGGGAACGTGTCTGATATCCTGTCTCAGCTCTTCAGAAGCTATAATCTCCAGGTTAGTGAGTTTTTGTCTTGTTTTTGAGCTTCATTTGATTTGATCAATTTTTCAATTTTAATTACCATTCTTGACTAGGTTAGCCAATAATTTAAAATAAAAATTTTCTTGTGATGTAGGAACAAGCTGATATCCATGCCCAAAGTGCTGGTGTGCTTCATGCCCTCTCTGCCTATTTGTACGAAGACACCTCTACCTTCATCAAAACATGGGATGTAAGTTTTGGACAAAGTTGTGAACAATATCTTAGTAGCATCCTTGTTTAGATTTCTCAAAACATTATGACACTTTGAGAGTTTGAGAAGCATCTCCATGCTTGGATCTGTCTACAACAGTGTCCATGTCACATAATGGAAACACTACATGTTTTTAATGTGCGTAGACCTTCTATAATGTTCCTAGCCCAACCATACATCACTGTACAAATGAAAAAAATATATAACTCCTATTGACTTTCTGTTGTTATTGCTACGAAGAGGTATGACTTTGCTTTACTAAAAGTACTATTTTTGTCAGTTTGTTTTCTCAAATCTTGGTGTGTTGTGGCTTTTTTGTTGTTCAAACAATTGATTTCTGAGCTAGTAATAATCCAGAAATGTGACTTGTATAGATGAAACTAAGAGAAATAGGAATGCACTAACATGTAGTAATTTTGTTTTCTGTAGATGATGCATTCTGATAGACCAGATATTAGTGAAGTGCCACTTGGACTCCTCCTGATCAGAGCCAATTCCAGCGATGCAACATTCTTCTGCTCTGAGAAGACTGCAGTTTTGGTCGAGGGTAACATGATCATTGTTTTCACCACCCTGGCTGATGCATTTCTAGTAATATTTGGACTGACTGACGTCCTGCACCTAAGCTACCCAAAATGTTTGGCCAACATTTTTGACTTTATTCAGAAAGTTTTGATGGGTCTGAAGGGTGGGAAGTTGAAGCCCAAAGTGCTGAGTCTTAAAAATGATCTTTTGGCAGCAGAATAATGTCCAGGATTCCTACACAGCCCTCAAGTGCCTGTTAAAGCAAGTAATTCAGTTTATCATGTTTCCAAGTCTGGATAAGTTTTTTATAAAAGAGAGAATAGAATAAAGAAATCTTTGCAGACTCTGTTTCATACTTCATTATCTAAAAGCCACATCCAAAGTAAAAGGGGTGATTTTATTATTTTTATTTATTTTTTTCCCCCATCATCACTTGTGTTTTAGTTGATTTTGATTGTGTTTTTAGTCAGATAACTGTAAATCTATAGAGAAAATGAAGGACAATCTCATTTCTGGCTTCTAGGTGGGATCTTGAATGTCACTTAAGGAACGTTCCTCCTGAACTACTCATAACTGACATAAGGCGCTAAGGAGGTTTATAACACTTTGTTTATGTCTCTAAAGAAGTATTTTTCTATTTAAAATTTTATTGCTTTGTTGTTGAGACTGTGATTGCACTCTACAAATGTGCATTTTGCATAACCACAGTACTGGCATATTAAAAAGGTTACCAATTATATTTCAGTGTATTAGCTGCACTATACTATTACTTTCATTCGGTTTTCCCACCTAATAATGCAGGATTTTCTTTTCCTTTTTTGTTTTTTTTAATAAAAAGGCCATACTCATGTGTTAATCAAATTTGAATAATCTTAAAACATGTTGTGAAATTCTTTATTTCTAATATTGTAACCTTGTGCCAAAATTTCTGACATTATTCCCTATAAAATGTGGTGGATTTATGTCTTTGGGCTTTTTGTGTCAAAGTAACTCAATAAATCTGTAACTTGAATTTATATTTTCTGTCTTATGTTTTTACAAGTGTAATTATTTTGGGCACTTTTTTTTTTTTTTTAAATCAAATTCAAAACACAGTAGATTTGGATATTACAAGCATTTGTATTTAAAATTTTTGAGTTGTATTAGCTTAAAATGGTTAACATTTTGAAACTAAAAATTAATTCCTTAAAGTTACTTGAGCTAGATTTGTACTTGAAACTCAAAATATCAAGTAGAGAGTACTAAACCAAAAATGTGGATATAACATAAAAACATTTATCAATGGTACTTAAAAATATTTATCTAAAGCTAATAAATAAAGTGTGTTTATTTAACTTTTATTTTTAAGTTTTAGTTACTTAAAATATTTTATGTAATCAGTTTCACCAAAAGTTTTGAGTAAAATTAACTTATTGGGTTTTACAGAGTATGAGGCATACAGTGCTGGTACACAACATGTGTTGCATCAAAGGTTAGGGCCAACATGCAGCCTCCGTACATACAATCCAGTAGCTAAAACCAAGCATAGCAGCCAAGCTACTTTGAGATCTGACCAGCAGTTGGTGGTATTACAAACTATAATACATAATATTGGTAGAGAGTCAATCTGAACCCTCCCTAAATAATAAAAGGGCATCTTGTAGTCCAAATTCCCAGTGATGTGAAGTTCTCACTGTGAATATGTGCAAGCTGCACAAGCTCCATAGTGGTTCCAGCAGCTCACCACATGATTCCTCTCATGGACTCGGGTATGGTGGGATCTCAGAATCGCTGTCAGGAGGTGTTTTTTTGTGTTTTTGTTTGTTTTTACCAAGGATCAGCTGGTGGTGGGTGGACTAAATGGATGGAGCCTAATTGATGTATTCACTCTTGCTCAGCCAACTCTCTTTGCTTTTCACGTCAGTGCACAGGTGAAGTGCAGTGCATTTGTGTGTGGTTAGCTAGACTCGTCAGCTCCTGCAGAGAAATCAGGCCTTCTAATTTAACCTCTGTTATACATTTCAGGGCTAGGTTATTGATTTCTTGCCTTTTCACTCCTACTTGAGCAGATTTATTTCAGAGTGGTTTGAGTCATTGTGAGGAGCTTTGTTTGCAAGGCCAGTTTGTAACGTGTGTTAACATAAAAAGCTTTTCATCTTCAACTCAGAGATTTCTACTTAGTGTTAATTTCAGGTGGTGTATTCCTTTGGTCTTTCTGCTGAGCAGGACCAACTTGGCCAACCTGTTTTTGCCTTTGCATATTTATTGACTTAATTTGTAATAACCTTTTGGCCAAGCAGCTTCATGTAACTAAACTCTATTCAAACACTCCTTCCAGGGCAAACATATTCAGAAACTCTCAGGGTTGAAAGGAAAGCATAAAGTCATAATTAGCTCTTAAAGAGAAATGTATCTGGTAGAAAACGCCAGGTTTTATGTCACATGAACATACACTTGCTCTGTCCTGAATAAATTATCCATCCTCATACACTCAGGCTCAGACAAAGACACACACTTTTCCCCTTGATGGCTCTTCCATTAGCACACCTCAGGAGGGTAAGTGGTGGAATTAATCCTCACACACTTGACACTCTCGCTCTGTTTCTGTTTCCTGTTCTCTGAGGGATGAAATTAAATCAGCATTCAGCCATTTCTGATCTAAACCTGATGCTTGATGCTGTCAGGGGTGTGTGGTGAATGATCTGCTACATTCAGAGGCATTATACTTACTATGTTCCACTTGTTTGCATTTTAGTCTAGCTTCTGGGGTGGCAGATAAGTCATAATATATTCAGGAAAATGAAAATACATGTAAGGTCACTGACTCACAGTCAGTCTAAAAATATTTCCTGAGAAGGAAATTCATTGATATGGTGCCATTCAGTGAGTATTTTAAAGTCTGATTTTTCCTTTTTGTTAAGTTTCAGTCAGCTGAAATTTGTTTTCAGTCATTTAAAGCTTTGTGTCTATCTCATACTGAACAGAATCAGAACAGCACTGCTTTCTTTTTAAATTCACTAGATTCATTTTTTTTCTTACATAACTGTTTCTCTCCCCTTGTTTTAATGCCATCTTCTTATTTATTTCTCCTTTTAACGTGATTAAAAGGATACTCGTTTCATTGTGACGGAATAAAAGTGGGTGGTAGGCAGAGACGGGCTCCTCCAAGCTGCACATTAGGGAGCACTGTCCACTCACAGCCAATCACAGTCTCTCTGTGTGGGTTGTCCCTGTGTTCTCGATAGTTATTATTCACTTCCGGCTCTCTTCCACAGTGTGTCTTTGTTCTGTCTTCCTCACCTCACCCCCAACTGATCGTGGGAGATGGTCACCCCTCCCTGAGCCTGACTCTGCTGGAGGTTTCTTCCTGTTAAAAGGGAGTTTTTCCTTCCCACTGTCACCAAGAGGGAAGGCGTCTCAAACTTAAATGAGCTGTGGGCCACTGCTAGCACTGTCATCTCATGTGAGGGTTGTTTGTTTTTTAAAATGTAAAATATTGTGTAACAAGAGAAAACTGCAAACGTGAACGCAAATGTTTTTCCTCCCTCTTAACTGAAGCCTTTCATTGAACTACCAAATAAACACGTTGGTCCTCGCATTCTGGTTAGACATGTGGCAGCACTTCTGCTATCATTGTGTTTGTATTTAACAAATTAAAAATGCAGACATAAGGTTACACATGAGTTTGTGACTCTCTCACTGAACTAACAGAGCCGATCCCTCAGCATGTTTGTGCTCTCTGCTCATGTCCCCTTCATATTCAATCTGGCATATTTTGGCTTTTTAAAGAACTTATTTTAACACTGAACTCAACAACAAATAAATCCTCCCTAACAAAAAAGTCACTTTGAGGGTCAAATTGCATTCGATTTCTAAGTATACTAACCCCAAGTTGCTTTCCGAGGCGTCCACTAGATTTGAATGTTAGCTAGAAAGCACTTAGGTGTCGAGAAACGTGCTTGTCTGAATGGTTAAGGTTTGTTGTATGGAGTATGATAGAAAGATGTCATATAAGAACCCATCCATTTACCAATATAAAGCACCTTGAGGCAACTGTTGTTGCAATATAGCACTCTGTGTTAGCCCTGCCTGATGACCTGTCCTGGCTCTGTCCTTCCTCTCAACCTATGGCAGCTGGAATTGACTGCCGCCCGTTGGTGACCCTGAACTGGATAAGCAAAAGAAGAGGAATGAATGAGAATGTTTCTCTGAGATGAAGCAGATAGAAATCAGCTGTAATTCATTTACGGTTTCATTGATTTTATTTCTTTTAACTGATGTTTATAGTATAAGTTAAATATACAAAGGATTGCTAAACGAGTCCATGTGCCTTAACTATTCACAGAGGAATAAATAACTTTTAAAATGAACTGACATGAATTGATTTCTATTATTTGACAGTGACAGAGATAAAGTGGTACACCACTTCCATGTCGTCAAACAAGCATATGCGCTGAGCTGTGTCATGTAAAGTGAAAACTATAAGACGCTTAACAAGTACTGTTCCTTTTTCTTGCCTCACTATAGACTCTTACTGCTGATATTCAGTGTGGCATGCAGCTCCCCAGGCTCATATCCAAGAAGGCCTTGCAGGTTGCATACGAAGCGATAGACGTAGCGCTTGCCAGCGGTTTTGCGAATAATGTTCTTGTCATAGTAGTAGCGCAAACCACGGCTCAGCTTCTCATAATTCATCTTAGGTTTGTTCTTCCTGCGACCCCACAGCACTGCCACCTGAAGAAATAATCCACATGTAAACACCAGCAGAATAAGCCTCGTGTTTCCTTTTTATAACAGCAACATGATGATTTCTAAATGACCAATATTGAAGCAGTAGTTAGCAACGTCAGCTCATAGAAGAAGGTTCTTTGGTGCTTTCATTGCAGAGTGGAACATGTGGAGGTTACAAATATGCCATTACAAAGTGAAAAATACCCTAATTGAAATGTGGCCCTTCATGCTCTACTCATGCAGGTATATATCCTGATATGTTGTGAACTCAGCATTAATGACCTCGTCAGGATCCGTCAGCTTGAACTCCCAGCCATTTCCTGTCCAGCTTATGCACGAATGACAGCTGCGGTCTGTCAGAAGCTCCAGCAGAAACTGCCAGAGCTGAATGGGCCCACTGCCTATTGAGACATGACAGAACAAATGAGTATGCTTACCTCATGGCTACACCTTATCGTTTACCTCTTTCAGCCACTCTACTCACCAGTGTAGCCAGCAAGAACTGCTACAGGTATTACAGCTGTCTCCAGATCAGTTTTGCTGCCTGCACATTCCCTGAAGTTCCTCTGTTGCTGAGGTAACATGAAGGCATTTTCAGACATG